ATATCTTGCCATTATTTTCCATAATAATTGTCTGTCGACTCTGTCCAAATGCCTTCTCCTGGTTCTACGAAAGCCACAAATAAGTTCTTATTGTATTTCAAATGTTCTTTCTATTAACTGTTTAAGTGTGAAGATTGCATCTGTGCAGCTTCTATTTCTCCTAAATCCCATCTGTTCTTCTGCCAGCTGGTGGTTCTAATCACTGGTCTCAGTCTTGTTTCTATTATCTTGGCATACATTTGCCAACCATGGCTTAAAAGAGAGATGCCTCGATATTGACCGCATTCTCGTTTGCTTCCTTGTTCTTCCAAAATGGTATAAACTATTGCATGTTGCCAATCAATAGGGGCCGTTTGTTGTACCCATGCTGCATTGAATATTCTGTGAAGCCATCTGATGCTGCTTTCACCTGCTGCTTGAATTATTACTGTTGGGTAATCTATCAGCTCCTGCGTGCTTTATATTTTGGAGACGTTTTAATGACTTTTTCTATTTCATCCATTAGTATGTGTAGTTCTAACATTGTTGCTCTGTGCTCTTCAGTTGTTCTTTCCTGATGATCTCCTAGAGGATTAAAGAGCTCATTGAAGTATTCCCTCCATCTTTCTGCAATCTCGGGTGGATCTATCAATGGCCTTCCTGTCTTATCATTAATTATTTCAGTGGGGTGTAGCTCTTATCTCTTCCGCATATTTTTTAACCACTTTGAAAAATTTTCTGCTGGCTGTTTTCTCATTTTCTGCTAGTGACTCACCGAAACGTTCCCAGGATGCTTGTTTTGCTTTCTTGACACTCCTGTTGGTTTCTCTCCTTTGCAGTCTATAGTTCTTCTTCTTTCTTTGATTTTATCCAGTGTTTATATAAGTCTTTTTTCTTTTTAATTGCTTCTTTTACTTCTTCGCACCACTAAGGTGAATATTTGTTATTTCCCCGTCTGTTTCCACTCTTCCGTTTTCCACATAATTCTTCTGCAATACTAAGCATAGTGTTTTTATATGTACTCCATTCTTCCTCAATATTGCCAACTACATGTGGAAGTTGTTTGAATGCTGTCTCTACTTTCTGTTGTAACTGTTCTTTTACTCCTTCCTGTTTCAGATTTGCTATCTTGATGAGATCCTTGTTTTTGTTTAATTTCTTTCGATGTTTCTTTAATGTAAGATGTTTTGCTGTTAACACAACTATTTTATGGTCAGTGTCACATAGACCATTAGGGATTGCTCTTGAATCAAGAATTCTTCTTCTTCCTTGAACTCTGGTAAGTATAAAGTCAATCTGGCTCTTGATAGAGATATCATTCCATTTGTACCAAGTGTAAAGTTGTGAATCTCTATGGTCAAAGAATGTGTTCGTAATAAAAAGATTGTGCTGGCTGCATAGATCCAATATTCTTTGACCATTTCCATTTCTAGCACTGTTCTTAGCTGCATATGGACGTAAAAATTGTTCGTATTCTCTTCTGTTATTTCCTACCCTCCCGTTGAAGTCACCCATTACATATAGTATGCTGTTTCCCTCAACTTTCTTTATCTCATCAGACAGATCGTCAAAGAATTCATCTTTCTGCTCTTCTGTATAAATATCATTGCATGGTGCATATATCTGTATATATGTTTCAGCTTGTTCTCCTCTTTTAATTTTCAAAGTAATAATTTTATCTGAGTGATAATGTATGTCTAATATGTAGTTAGATATGTCTGGATGTACCAGGAAACCCACTCCATTCTTCGATGTTTCTCCTCCTGCATATGTAAGTAAGTAGCCTCTGTGTATTTTCTTATTAATATTTCCCTTGCGTCTTATGTCAGCTAGCCCCATTAACTTGATTTTCCTTTTTTCCATCATTTCAATAATCTCTTCTGTTTTATTTCCCAGGCCAGCGGTGTTAAGTGTTGCAATCTTGTATTTCGCTGTTCTGTCTCGTAGTCCCTTAACATTACCATGGTCAGATACCGTTTGATCAGTCCGTTTATATCTCATTTTGATTTTTGTAGCGGTAAAAAATCCATTGCCGGCTTGCTAGGCCTGTCGCAACTTCACCAGAGCCCCGTTGGCCAGTACGTTTCGGGGTGTCCCAGGGTGGCCTTCATGGCTACCGTAGCGGCCCCGTGGCACGAGGCCACACCATACTTTGCCCACACCTAGCAATCCCCTACTTTGTCCTGTTACCACCTCTCACGACGAGGACGTGGGGTTGGTCTTTGTTATTCCATCAATGCCTGGTAATTGTGTTGTCGTTTTTTATATTGTTTAGTGATTAGTAAGGAGAATCGTCATAGTACTCCGGACAGGTCCATAAGTGCTCCGATTTCCTCCCGAATAGTTCCACATAAGTGGACCGACTGATCATGCCCGCTCTGTGTTTATTAATCACACACGTTTTGTGCCCTAAGGGTACTGAGTTTTGCTTGTGTGGTCTTCTTCGCGATATGCATCTCGCTTGGAATTAATGACTCTTGTCCAAGCCCGGGCCGGTCGTGGTAGCCGCCTTGTCGGTCATATAATCTCCACGCTCATTACCCCGAACGCCCTCATAGCCCCGGCACATAAATAAAGGTTAGGAAGGTTATTCGCGATGAATTTAATGAGATAATCCATTCTTGTAGGATAAAGCCAGTCTGAATTTTCTTAAGCAATATTCATTGAATCACTCAGATCCACGCACGTGTGAATTCTTGGTATCCACTTTTATTGTTCCTTTCATCCCCGCTTTTTGTTTTTTCCACTGATCTACTACTGCTTAGATGCAGGAATGTCTCAGGGATTTCCGAATGAGATTAGAAGTTCTATAAATTAGTTGTTCCATCTGATTGGTTCACCGGCCATTTACTAAGCTTTTTCCAGTCGGCATCTGTGGATTAAGCTTACAAATGTATGTTTCTAATTCCGTCATACCCAATTCGATTAAGCTGCAAGCTATTTGGCAGAAGACCGCTTTGCATTATTTTCATAACGGTATTGTAAGAGCGGCGATCGTTCAGTAAGCAATAGCAAACTACCAAGTGTAATATTATCTAGTGCAGGTTCCTTCAACCCGTGGACTGCATAAAAACCCTGCTGGCCACCGAAAAATTCTGCGTTTACGAGGTAGGGTATGTAGTTTTTCTCTTCCAGTCTGTGGGATTAACACCTCAGGGACTTCCCATTTGTTAGAACAGACTTTCCCAGGCAGATCTATAATAAAAAACAAACAAAGAAATCGAATGGATATAATTGCAGCGCTTCTTATATCAGAAACAACGCTCCAGCCCCATACATGAGATTTGTAAACCTCTAAGCAGCAGATGTTGTATTAGGAGTGTTGTGTTGTGGTATTTAAACAATAAAAAGCTTTTTGGATTTTGTGTGGTTTTGTGTTTGGTTAGCCTCAGGTGGGCCGCAACACAATGTCCACTGTTTTAGTGGGTCACAGGTGTACACAGGCTGAGGAAGACTGGTGTAACGACAGTCAGCCAGCAAATGCTGGGATTGATTTACAAAGTGTTGTAAAGGATGTGCATATCAAATCCTTTTCATTTTTTTTTTTTTTTTGGGTAAGATTGTAGGATTAACAACTAATTTTTTTGGGTTAGTTGACTTCTTGACTTCTTTGTTTCTTTCCTTCTTTCTCTCTTTCCTTTTTCCTTTTTTCCTTTTTTCCCTTTTTTAATTCTTTTTTTTTCTTTCCTCGTTTCTTTACTTTCTTTCTTTGTCTCCTTTTTTTCCTTCTTTCTTTCTTTCCTTTTTTTTTTCTTGCTTTTATTCTTCTTTCTTTCTTTTGTTTCTCTACTTTCTTTTTTTTTCTTTCTCCTTTCTTTCTGTCATTCTTTCTTCTTCTTCTTTTTCGCCATCATCATTATTTTCTTTTATCTTCTGCTTCCTGTCGACCACACAACCAAATGAGAGCCGGTTGTCTATAAATATCTTGGTTTACCTTTAAACATTTTCTTTAAATGCACTATACAGATGTCTCCTACCATAGTCAAGAACGAAAAAAGAGACACAATTAAGAAATAGAAGACCCTTGCCTCCAGATACAACAACATCAGGTATCGAACAACATTATACAAGGAAGAAACAACATCAGTCAAACCGTTTAGAACAACATAACCAAATGGAAACGAAGGAAACCATATTCAAGCAAATCAAATTTAATAAAGGTCGCAAATATAGGTAGCAGCTATTAAGCTGAAAAGGCTGAACGTGATCAAATTATTCTTTTTGTTTTTTCAAGAAGCAAGCAAGTTCAAAAGTCTAATGCGTCACAGTTGAGAAAAGATGCTTTATTTTTCTCTAATTAGAGAACAAAACAACAAGCGGCTTGGCGAGTGCTTATAACGTTGTGTTCTCATTTAGTAGACCGGGTTTCGAACCCATAAAATGATTGGCTTTTTTATGTTCTGGTAACAAGTTAAAAGAAACACTCGTCATGACCTCTGCACTATACATGCGACCCCGAATCTTTAAGCTTAAGTTCTCCAAACCCCTTTTTCTCTATGCGTTGTTTTCTTTTTCTACTGTTCTCTACTTCTGGAATGCATCGCGGTGTCAGGACAGGAAGAGATCTTCGGATTGGGCTCTTCTGTTCGCTTCATACAAAGTACGTTTCATTGCCTCTGAAATGCCATCCTTCCATCCATAAAAACGAGCTACTAAAGGCAGTTAAATATACGAAATTCAGGTTAAAATTCAGAGAATCATCTTAGTTGCACCGGAATTTATCCCAAATGGCTCGGCATCTTTCCGCAGAACGGCAAGCCGATTGTCGAGAACGTAGCGCAAAGACGAACACCGTAGCTTCGGCGATGATCCTCAAGGATCTCCTTATTAATTGTATGTGTGAACCGAACGATACAGTCGTGAAACGAACCCACCACCTACACAGCGCGATGCAAAAGGTTTGATGACTTTGCCACGGACACCCTCCACTCACCCCCAGTTATATACCAAAAAAATCTAATGTCAAAACGAATACACAACATACATCTAATGTAACAGGCATTTACAACATAATTACTCACCGCCGGTATAATCACCGTCCCAACTCCTTCCACCAGCGATTTTAAATCCACTTTCCGCTCCCCACTGCCATCGCTGTCCAGCTCTGAACCAACAGAAGACGCCGTGGAGATATTACTGATCTTTCTCCTTCGCGGGGAACATTCTGTTGAGCCAAAGTTACTAGACTCAGGACTATCATCTCCAGCTTTCCCCGAACCATCCTCCGACTGCCCATAAAATGTAACATGGGACGTATGTGGAGGGGATACCTTCCTTCCTGGGCTCAAGTTTGGACTACCACTGCAGTATGAGACCTTCCGCAAGGCTGACTTTGCGGGAGAAGACGGCAGGGAATTCGTAGGAGTTGGTGTGAATTTAGACTCAGATGTGCATTCGGAAAAGGATTTCTGAATTCCCTTGGTTGTAACTGTATAGCTGGCTTCAGTCGGAAACTTGCTGTTGTTATGACAACTACGGTGGTTGCCATCGGAGATGCCACTGTTGGATCTTGCTTTTATTAAGTCTTCTTCTAAGGCCTTCTTTATAGGGCAACTCATGTTTAAACAGGAAGATGGAGCTACTTTGAAGTATAAGTTAAAGGAACATAAATTTGCATATGTGGTAACACAGGGGAGTATATCTTCCTGCAAGCTGTAACAGTGTTACGCTTTCTTATGAAATCAAGAAATATTTGCGCACAGTTACTGTCTGGGTTTTGGGGTAAATAAATTTAGTAGGTCATGTCTGCATATTGCTAGCATCTTGGTCCTTATTATATCGGATAGCCATATTGGAACATACAATTTGTTTCATTTTGCCTGTAGAAAAAGAAATATACATTATGTATTGAAAGTTTTATTAATATATTTGTTAGCTGAAATAAATCAAGAAAACAAACTAATTCAGTGAACTGTCCCACTGGCACAGATCTTTATTTCTTTATATAGGCCAGCTTCGACTTCTTCTACCCGTCTTATAATTCACTATAGAGGATGTGCTCATGGACTCTACCATCCTCCCTTCCATTTTTCTCCAAGTGTATCCCAGTCACCAAAGAATTCGGAGACTAAGCATTGAGAGACCTGGTGTTTCAATAAATAGCCAACGCTAATTATGGGGATACAGTGTGTGTGTGTGTGTGGGGGGGGGGGGGGAGCTCAGCTTCATTCTCCCCAGCCAAATGTTTAGTTCCTGCGACTATGCACGTACACCAAGATTCGCTAATGGTCGCCAGAACTGTCCTTGCTCACCCATTCACACTTTATACTGTAAGATAGCTCTACGTGAAGTCTGAACTTCTACAGACGTTTATGTATGAATATGTCTATCGTAAACCAATGCTTGGCTGTCATGTTATGAATTGATTCTTTTGTGGCTAATGATGGTCATGATCTTGTAAACAATTGAGGCTTGTCAATGAAGCTGTGTGCTTTCAATGGGAATCAGTTCATTCATTGAGATTTACATCATAGTTTATGATGACATTTTAAAAGCTTTAACTGACATATACTACGATCATAATTTTTTAAAAATTGTAAAGTAAGGGAAAGTGTCCAAACTAAACCATTTCTTCTTCTTCTTCTTCAGCTCCCCGAGCCCTTCAGGTTCATTGCTGCAGATATCACCCGCCTCCATTCATCTCTCTGGTTGGCCTTCTCTTTCCAGTTGGTGACACCAAGTGTTTGCAGGTCTGTCTGGATATTATCTTTCCATCGTCTTTTTTGGTCTCCCTCGTGGTCTACGACCATTCATCTCCCTGGTGTATAAGTTTTTACTTCTCTGTCATATGACGTTCTTTCAATATGCCCCAACCATTTCAGTCTATTAGCTCGCATGATGCCAGTGATCAGTGGTGATTTAAACAGATTATGAATGTCGTTGTTGGTTCTTACTCTACTAAACCATTTAGCGCACGCACATTATTCATAGACTTATTTATGACACGCAGTAAAATATGATGGTAGAAGCAAAACAGAAATCAAAAAGAGAATAGGAATGACTAAAGCTGTGACAGCTAGAGAGATAAACAACACTCTAAAAACGAGAACCGTCAAATGTTACGTATATTCAATTCTACTAAATGGTGCAGAAACGTGGACAATGAACAAGGAACTAGAAAAAATCGAACTGAGTCCCTGGAGATGTGGGTATACGGAAGAATCGGTCGTATTTCATGGAAACAGAAACAGTCCATTACAGAGGTTATGGAAAGACTACAAATGAAAAAAAAAAAGGAACTACTAAATAAGTTAAAACGAGACAATTGAAATACTTGGCCAAATTAAAAGACATAACACGCTTTTAAAAACTATACTAGAGGGAAAGATCGAAGACAAGAAAGCAAAAGGTGGATAACAATACAAGTGGGAGGATAATATCAAGAAATGGACAGTCAGCAGTCTGAGAGAGGGTGCAACCAGGACAAGAAAACATTGTGTTGGAGATCCATTATAGCCAACCTTTACTCTGGAGACGGCACCTGATCGATGAGAGACCAACAAACAACCTATGAGCAGACTGTCTACCATCTTCTTTCACGATCTCTGCATCTTTTCCCCGCCATCTTTCCCCATCGTTATGCTGAACTCTAATTTTCTTCTTTTCATGATTTGGCAAAAGAATTTAGATTGTCTCCTTCTGATGTAAGCAACCGGTTCTCTAGACACTACATAGATTATATGATTCACAACAAATTGACCGCATTTACTTCCCCTTAACTTACCTGGTAACCGTTTTGGATGTGCAGACCTCAAGACTGGGAGCCTGCATTAGTTCTGATGTTTTTTAAAGTCACCTCAACGTGGATTTAAACCTTAGACCTTCGTGCCGGCAAGCACTACACTACCGACTGACTGACGTTCAACCCCAGCGGGACATCACACCGAGCGATAAACACCCGGTGACACAAAGTGCCACCATTCGGATGAGGATCACCAGTGAATAGGTCCCAGAAACCCCGTTGAACCCATATATTGGGTTATATTAGGGCTCCCGGCAATAGCCAGGGTGAGGTTTTAAAACAATAAAAATTGCGTTCCACATTGGGATTATATTAGATTACAGCGGTTCCTAAGTTGCATATACAGGGTAATGGGGACACGAGACGTGTGTATCCACATTCGAGTTTTTCAGAATATGAGGTCAGACTCACCATGTTTATCCATTAGAATACAAAGCGGAATACAGGATGTGAACTAGAGCGAGGAGAACTTTCGGCGTTACCCAGCAGCATCTTGATAAATTTTAAATGGACTGGGTCACGTTAACATTGCCGAAATTCACGGTATCTATCATGAAATCAAGGCCGAAAGGTTGCAATATCCATAGTACATAGCCAAAGGGTTAACAACATGGTTTCTGGATATTTAGGGTAACAAAATATATATGTAATTCCGGATTCGAAAGGTATGGTCGCCTACGTCCGTCAACAAAGCACTTGATTTTGATGGACTGAAGCATCATGGTCGAAAGTAACCCAGTTGTCCACTAACACTTTGCTTTATATGCACAGCATCCGGGCTGGAAAGAATTAAAATTATTTACATTAATTGTAATGGGGGATAAAAGTTTCAAAATATGAGTTATTCGGCTGACGAGCTCAATGATGGAACGGATTAAATTCGTATATTAAGGTTTCACTGTATACACATCCTCACCATCATTTTGTTCCTTACCGCCTGGCATGGACGAGCCTACCTCTCCACAATCTTCGATTTTCAACAGCGTATACAAGTTTGTGTGCTGACACCACCCTCCATGCCATGGCAAAAGACTGTCAAAAAATGTATCGCGTTGTCTCCCTCTATCTATTAATTTTCCACATATCTGTTAAGTGGTCATAATATGTTCCAGTTTCTTTCTTCTCATAGCATGACTTTAAAAAAAATGATGGCTGTATGTCCCTTACTGAGTTTATCTGCCCAAGAGTCAAAGAATAAGATACTGTAAACAAAAAAGCTGGTAAAACGGCTGTACACATAAAACTTTGGCCCTGTAAAAGTCCAAATGGACGAATAACCGGGAACTTTCCGCTGGAACTTATAGCAAATGAACAAAGAAGAAAAGTAACTGACAATGTAACTAATATGATCAAAGGTTGCTTGATCAGTCCAACGACTGTGTCTGTCATGAGATGATAATTCTTCCAAAGAAACGATGTTATAATGTACAATATTTTTTGATCCAGCCTTTCGTTTCTTGCTAAAGGCTTTTCATAACGTTACAAACATATTCCTTTGATGTGATTTCTACAGCTTTTTTCGCTTGAAAGCCCATCAAATGATAACAAGAATAGACAGCGTCAGCTTTGAATATAGCGGTACTTCGAAACACATTCACCGATATGTAGGTGTCTGGAGCTTAGGGCTAAATGAACAAAAAAAAAATATGACTTTAAAGCTCAACGGAGTGAATACGCGCACAAACACAACTGAACGTTTCGGCCAAAACCTGTATCATCGAAGTGCTAAATAAAACACAAACTGTGACCGGAAAACTCAACGAACAAGACAACAGAGCTTATATCTGTGGCTTAGACGTTGTCAACGCAGTCATTAATACTGAGACATCAAACTGAATTGCAGCTGCGAGGGAATATGCAGCAGACAGCTTTGCACTGATTTAGACAATGGTCTCCAGAGCCAACAGTAAAACTGCCTACTAGAATCACTGCCGGCAAATGCTGAGGTTGGTCCTGCAACATCATGTAAAGGACAAACATATAAATAAACAGAACTCTGTTTTTGGCGCTGTGTGTGTGTGGGGGGGGGGGGGTGGGGAGGGTAACGCCCTAGGGACTACCAAGGAGGCAAAAGGCCTAAAACCGAAACGACCGACGAAGGCAGACAGCATCTGAAGCCTCCTGTTGTGATCATACTTCGGGAAGTTCTGTCCCCTCCTCCTCCTGCTACTCCTCCTTCTTCTTCTTCTTCTTCTTCTTCTTCTTCTTCTTCTTCTTCTTCTTCTTCTTCTTCTTCTTCTTCTTCTTCTTCTTCTTCTTCTTCTTTTCTTCTTTTCTTCTTCTCTTCTTCTTCTTCTTCTTCTTCTTCTTCTTCTTCTTCTTCTTCTTCTTCTTCTTTTCTTCGTCTTTTTCTTGTTCTTCGTCTTTTTCTTTTTTCGTCTTCTTCTTGTTCTTCGTCATCTTCTTCAACTACTTCTGCTGCTTCTTCTTCTTCTTCTTCTTCTTCTTCTTCTTCTTCTTCTTCTTCTTCTTCTTCTTCTTCTTCTTCTTCTTCTTCTCCTCCTCCTTCTTCTTCATCTTCTTCTTCTGCTATCGTGTGGAGGAACATACAGATCATCACGGTCTGAGAAGAATGATGACCAGGAGATCTGGGTGATGCTTAGCTCTCAAGTGAAAGGTGAGACGGCTACTGGTGGCATCGGAATTGGAAATCTACGCATTCTGCTGAAGATTGGAACGGGGCGCTTATGTTAACGTCCCGATTGCTGTAACGTCGATTCTTAATTCGAAATTCCAATTTGTTTCTTCTTTCTCTTCATCATTTCCTCCTCATTCCCTCCCTTCTTCTTTTTCTCCTACTGTCGCCACCACTTGCAA